CAGTCAGGCCAGGTCGGTTAAATACTTCATTTGTTTTCTTGTGCGCTGAACGTAAACACATAAAGTGATTCGGTGCATTCCTGTGAATGTACGTTTTCAAATGTAACTAATGTAAGTATAACCTCCTATTTATTTAGACATGGGAAAATCCAAAAGAAAACACCGACAGAAAGAGGATAAATTATCCCGTAAACACATTTTAGAACGTTTGGAAAAACTTGAATCGCACTATCGCCGACGAAATGTCTCGCAGGCAAGGACAAACGAAATTACATCACCATCACTTAGAACCAGGGCCAACCGCTCTCCTATTGCTTCGTCGGCGACTAGGGCGGACCACAATAGTCGTTCCCAAGGCCTAAAAAAACAAGCAACCCTGTTTCCACTACCTCAGATGAAGATGATGGGTCCGCTTCTAAGCGTTATCGATCTCGCTCACCGAATTACAGTGCAGCCCGTATTCCAAGCGTTACGGCGGGCATTATTCGCGATTGAGGCGATAGCCGCAGCAGATAAACGGCCAATTAGCTCAGGCTTCAACACAAAATAAGAGCTTGAGAAACTTGCACATTGCGAGTTCGTTCTGGGTAAAATGATCTTCGGACTCTTTCACTCATGTTTTTGTGTAAAGCATTTACTTAAAGAGACGCTCGTGTTCCTCCTTCAGAGCCATCTTTTGTCGTTCCCTCTAAACTTCGCTATTCTTTCCCGCTCTTTTAAAAAATCTATTCTTTTCCCGAGGGTGTATTACAATTTTAGTTATTGACTATGGATCAATAGTGTTCTTGTGATGTGATGGAATTGATTTGGGCTGATTCTGAAAGTCCCACTATCCATGGCGAAAGTTGGGGGCGATACCCAATTGTCTCCAAAAAATCATCTCCTGTTATGAATTCGTGGTAGGTACGATAAAGGTTTTAATAATTATAAGTTAGCCTTGTAGGCATACAGGGAGTAGTAACAATAATTGTACAGTTTCCCCAATGGCTACTGTGCATCAGGTGCTAGGTATAGTGGTAGGTTGAGAGTGGATAACCTTCTCTGCCTAGGATGGTGACAGAAGCACCAGAATCCAGTAGGCCCAGAAAGGTGACATTCAAGTAGGGTCTTTCGTCGCCAATTACATTAGTTAAAACGTAGCCAATGCGACAGTTCCCCAGGATTAACATTTCGGTCGGGCTGTAAACCCGTCTATCGTTTCCCGCTGCTCAATTTCCGCAGGATTTTACGGTGACGATCTGTTTGCCACAAGAGTAACAGAACTGCCTTTTAGAAGGACAGGCCCTAGCGGTGTGATTCGATTGTCTACAATTCCAACACATGATGGCCAAACATTCCGGAGTTGCACATGGGTCATTAGATAAAGTCGTGACCGGTCGGAAGGTTGTCGCTGCCACTGTATGTGCAAATGGGTTGGTTGGTTTGTGATACACCAAATCTGGTTCCATTAATAGTCGATAGCTTGTAGGACGTGGATTAAAAGCATCTGATCTTGCTTAGGTTTCCTCCAAGATTTGGCAGAGACGTGTTAATTATGCAATAGGAAAGTTCCTCTTCATTAGATGTAAACGAACACTCTCACTGGTTTGCTGAACAAATTTTCCATTGCTGATATGTACACAATGACCCGTTGGGCGTTCATGTTCGCCTTGAGTTCTGCTTCCAATTCGTCCCCATATGTTAGGAAAGCTGTTTTAAATTGGTTTCCAAGGCATGCATCGAATTGTGATAGAAATCGCTCTAAACCAAGTGAGTGCGTTCCCTGTAAATTATTTAAAGGTCGAACAAAATAATTTCCGTTGTGTAACCCCTCGTGAGCAGCCCATTTGATTGTTGCGTTCCAAAAAGGCTGTCACACTTCAATTACCGTCGTACGTACCATTCCATTTATACAGAGATATTTAATAAGAAGTAGACATAGGGATTGGCGTATATTTTCTTTCTCTATGTCTATTTTTGCATGACAAAATCTCTTCTGAAGGGCGCCAAAATAATTTTTTTAAACAAATAAAGACCTGGCTGTCATATTAATTAATGGATATTACAACAATCTTCAAATTAATTAATATAACAGCCAGATCTTTGTGTTAAAAAGTTATTTTGGTTGCATAAAATTAGGTGCCCTTCAAAAGGATTTTGTCATTTTAAAAGTACACATAGAGGAAAACAATACACGTAAATCCCTATGTCTACTTCTTAATTAATATCACTGTATATTGCCGTGTGCACAGATCCCTAGGCCAAAAAGGACCATATAAGTACACAAAATACTACAAACATAGCTCTAGCTCTTTAATTCTACTTTTCCCAGCATAAATCCTCTCTCCAGCACAAACGAACATTCGACTCCGATCTCAGTTATTTTCCTAACTCCTAACAGACAGTGGATAATTTCAAAATCCTCAAATTCCAATCCGGCTTCCACTGCATTGAACGTTAATAATGAAAGGTCCGAAATAACACAGAAATTTGCGTAAAATTACAATGATGTTTTTTATTTTACACAGACAACAATGATTCAGAAAAAAATACACAGACACAATCAAATTACAACTACAACTTAATCTTACAGTTTTGTTCCAAGGATTAAATTTCCAAAAATGGGGGTTCGATAACACAGTGCACTAATCAACTTTAAACTAAAACCAACGACACAAAAACGTTGAACCTTTCCATGGTAAAAAGACGTAGACAAAATTTATTTTCAGTGAAGTCCAAAACTTGAAACCGTGGAACTCGACGCAACACAAAACTCTTTTATCTCAACCAGACGGACGTTGCTGGACAAACTCAAACTAGCTTCTCTCAAAAACGAACTGGCAAACTTGGGCTCCAAGACTATACGACAAAGCAAAATTTTGTAAACGGCGAATGGCGGTTCGATCTCGGAACGCGCAAAAAGTATCTTTTTCTTCGCGTCGCTGGTATTTAAACTCGAAATCCCTCTTGAAAATTTATGTCCAATCAACTGTATGGCAACGGAAACTGACCAACAAACGGCCCTTAGTTACCTCACCTATCACATCTAAATATCAGATAAAAATCTAATCAATTTTAGGAAATACAATTGTTTTATAACAAATAAAAGGATACCTTTTCTCCGCAACAAATTATCTCTCATAAATAAAAGGAAAAAGTCAATAAATTAAACCTGCCTTTACTGTTCCAGGTCGTGGACAATTTGAATTTTGTAGAATGCCCTTTGGGCTACATAACAGTCCCTCTACATGGCAGAGATTCACTGACATGGATCTAGAGCCTTTTGTCATTTCGATGATCTATTGACAAATTAGCCAATTATTAACAACGGAAACGAAACGTCGAAAAGATCAGTACTGCTAATAAGTAAGAAACAAAAGGTAAGCGGGAATAGCGCAGTTTAGAAACAATGACAAAATGGCTCGGAGGGAGGAACATGGGCGTCTCTTTAACTAAATGCTTTACACAAAAACATAGACAACGACATGTGTGAAATCAGTAAAGAAGAATTTAGGTTATGAAAAGGAAGATAAAATTGTAACAACGTTGCAAGGACAGAAGGAAGCGAGGAAATCAAAAGAAGAGGTTTAAGAAAATGAGTACACCTATGAGGTGATATCTAAAACGAAATAAACATATTTCCCAACCTAAAAATCAAAATATATAACGAAAAGGTAAACTAAAAATGAATCCCTAACAATCTAAAGCGTTAGAACGTCACAGAGCTTTTGTTTTGGTAGATTGTAAGGAATTACTAACCTAGCGAGACTATTTCATAGACCAAGCGGCATCTACCTTTAAATTGAATCTGCAATTTAATTAGTTCACTAACAATCTTAACCCATATATTGAATGCGTATCTGTAGTGAACTAGGGGACTTATTTTTTTTTATGCTGCACATATAGGGTGTAATAAGTATATTTTCTAATTAATTTACGGTAAATTAATTAGCTTTCCAGTTTGAAAGGATGGTAGTTCCATTCAACGAAGTTGACTCGTTAGAAACTGCGCATTCGTATTTAATTACTGTCAACTGCATCTATGAAGTTTGTTTATTAGATGCAGTACAATACTCGATTGATTTTTGAATTATATTCAAATTCCGTTCAAGTACACTTTGGCATTACACATGTGAAATTAAATACAAGCAACAATGGAGCAGAAGTAGTACAGTTGGCTGCCAGCCAGGTCGCATTTCGAAACTTACATATTAAGAAATTAGTGATCTTGTTCTATGTCGTGGTGTCTGCAATGAGAGGTACAACAGATATGTCTTGAAGTATTTACTTCATTTTCTACACTAAAGGAAACGTTAGTTTTCGTAGTTCACCTCTAGTACATATGAAAGAATTGATTTTTACTTGGTTCGTTTCATTTGTAATTCATTAAACTTATCTACTATCATCTAACTAAAAGTTGCACTTACTATTTGAAAGAGAACAGAGATATGTACCACGGTTAACTTCATCCGCAAAAAGGGGCTGGCAACTAATCTATACTAATTTAAACCTTTATTCTCACGAGGCCTAAGCAAAATCACCGAGCTTAAAAATTCCTGGTTTTAAATTCCCAGGAAAAAAGATAAAACGTATCAACGGATTAGATACAATACCTTTATGAACTTTGTACGTGACAGAATGTGCGAGAGTTCGCACCCTTATTAATAAAGAAACTTACCTAAAAACGTTTCATAGGGTCGAATAGGATTATAATAAGGAAAGTGAAATTAGCAAACGTCGTAAAATTCGTACAGGCGAGGGGTTCAAAGTTGCAATTTTGTAAGGTTTCATTAAACTTTCCAATTGTCACAGAAAATCAACAATGTACATTTTCTTGTAGCAACCATTAACCTAGTTATGTCTCATATATCAACAATTTCAATATTGCGTCTACAACGTCTTCGTCACTTGTCGCCAGCACCATTGAATGACGTCGAAATAACGAGATTTCGAAATTGAATATATTCAATGACAATGCTAGTACTTGTACAGATGTGCTTTAATAAAATCTCTTGTTTCAGCATCTCGTATTCGATACGAGATCACGAGCGGTAACATAGGAGGGGCGTTCGCCGTCAAAAACATGACGGGTGCAATCTACGTCGCCGGTGCTCTGGACTACGAAACGCGGAAACGGGTAAGTGTTTTGTACTCGCATTGTTTATCTTCGCTTTCATAACTCAACATTGCCACGACCCGATTAAGCAGCCTTCTTCTTTATTATACGCAACTTTTGTTTACGTTATCGATCAGTATTGTACCTTTGTTCTTGGTCGAGGTCCATTATTGGGTTACGAACGTGGACTAGTGAATAGAGGATATTTGATTAACTCGCGCCTGGGGACTGAGGTTTCATCTGGTTCAATCTGATTTTAACAATAGCTCATGCATATTATCTTTGATAACCCCCCAGTACGAACTGCGACTCGCCGCTTCCGACAACTTAAAAGAGAATTACACCACTGTTGTGATCCATGTCAAGGATGTTAACGACAATCCGCCCGTTTTCGAGCGACCAACCTATCGTACGCAGATCACAGAGGAGGACGATCGCAACCTTCCGAAGCGCGTACTCCAGGCGGGTGTTGCATGTTTCTAATTTTACAGCTTTTGTGCAGAGTGCCGAGATTGTTTTTATCTTTTGTTTTATGTATTTTGCATGCTAGTAGCACCACTTATGTATTTTATGTGGCGCATGTCGTAGTACGAGCTAACTCTGGTTGCATCAGACAGCCTTAACGAAAACCATACGAAGGTGGTTATCCATGTGAGGGACGTTAACGATTTGCCTCCAATTTTTAACCGCTCAATGTACGTGGAAGCTATCGACGAAGAGTTTCCAGGACCTTATCCGCTTCGCTTAATGCAGGTCAGCCAAGTTCAACTTTATAAGGGGGAGTAAATTAAATCGGGTCGCTATTATACGGCAGTCCTGGAGTAAATTAGTTTTCTTACGAATTCCTTTACGAGGCTTATGTCAAGTTTGGCCTATTTTTCATTATAAATAAGAAATGACGGTTACAATTTAGTTTCCTTATATAAAAAGGAAAATAGAACTGCGCCCTCACAAAATAAAAAAAGGGTCGAATATACGATTTTAAAGAATGTATAACTGGCTATGAAAAGACGCCAAATAAACCCGATTTCTGAAGAGCTTTTTATCTGTTTATTCGATGGACTGACATTTTGTTCGGGGCGATATAGATATCAGTTACTGACACATGATGCGGACGCTTTTCGAGTTTTAATGTTATCTCGTAAGAATTTTTCGTCATTTTGGTTAGCCACAGTAGCTTTGTACGTCACCATTTATCAACATTTTGTTTATTTGTAATATAAGCCGTTGACACGAATTGCATGTGAAAGCTAGATAGTGCATTTAGTTTTGCATTTGCACGAACATTAAAATCGTACATGTTGCACAAAGTGGCGTTATATAAACTTTGGTATGTAATTGTTTTATCATGTTAATGCTGTGCACCATTTGCAGCGTGAATTACATACGTGCTGCTCTCAATTGAAATATTCTCTGGAATTGTCTGAAGTGCTTTTTACGTAAAAATGAAAGATATACATAAACAAGACTGTTCCACTAACCTAGTTTACAAATATTGATATGTAATTTCCTGGATACTTGAAAAACCTTATTTCAATGTCATAGGAAACGGCCCACGATACTGGATACTAATTATTTTTGTTCCACCTGTACGTCAAAAGTTAAATCAGTCTTCAATCGAAAATCTCCATGGTACAGGACGGTTCAAATTCGTGGCTCACCATTGGCATCTCCATAACGGTGAGAGATACAGTGTAGGACAAACGGGGGGAAAGTGACTAAGAAAACGGATATGAACTTTTTGAAAAATGTTTGGAAAAAACTGAGTATCGTCAAAAAACTAAAAATGTCAAATTTGGTTTTGATTTTTCCTAACTTAAACGATCGGAAATAGACGGTTCTCGTTTGCACTTTCTATTTTCAGATAATCTAAATTTCTTATCCGCATTTTCATAACGCGCTACATGTAAAAGCTTTCTTATTTTCTATGGAAGCCATATTGGATTTTTACGTTAGCTTACATAGTACAAATTGGTCTCTTAAAATTTGTGTCAGGATCACAGCAAGAAGATAAAGATCTTTGCAGAAACACCGAGTATGACCCCGAAAGTTACCAGTAAAATGATCATGATCCCACACGCGATTACACTTTTTTAAATAATATACAAAAAAATTGTCACATGAAAATACTCGACCTCGTCAGGTATATTGTTAGTGTATATGCCTCAAGTGTCTCTGATATTGGAGGTTTGTTAATCTGCCGGTTTGCATGGTGGGGGAGACTGTATGTGTAGGGTAGAAAACGAGATTCATTTGAGCGCGTCAGGTATTTAGAGCGCTGTACGTTAAATGAATGACCCCACCGCCTATGATCTCCGTCATCTGGCATGCTTCAGCTGCTGAACGCACTGAACTTATTGACGATTCCACTTTGGCGTGTGGAAATCGGCAGATTATATTACGTCTGTTATACTTGAATAAGTTCCTTCGAAATAAAAAAAATCCAACGCCTTCGAATATGTCAAAGTAACATTTTCTTCTGCATGTTTCTGACCCTCCTACTTCCTCACGTCACGCTCAAATCGTCAGATTATTGAAATGCACACTTTTCAACATGTAGTCAACCCACCGTATCTTAATCTAACGCGCTCGAGTAAATCCCCTTTGGGCTCCCCTACTATTCCTGAAGAGCAAAAGTAAAACGATTGTCACATATTGAGGACAAGGTTGATTGGGGAAAACAACATCTTGTGTTATTAATATTTTAATCCAATTTGAGAGTATGGAATTCAGAACGAATATAGGGATGTTTGGGTGTTTGAAATATTTGCATAACATACAAAGTTTCGAGCGCCACCACATAACAGAATCATATTTGGCATTATATTACACTCTTGCACACAACAAACGAAACCCCCGACCCGTCATGCAAGCCGATAACAAACATCGTAACTGAATTTATAAGTCGTACTTATATTCTGAATTCCATACCACTCTAACTACGTATCTCCCAGATACCCCAACTTATCTAAACACCCTGTATATTAATCTGTGAAAAGTTCCATTTTAATTACCTACATTTCCAAAACTATAATATGCCCTAAATTGGAATAACACTCTGTAAGTCTGTACTAATATTCAACCTTCTCCTAACACGATAAATCTAACCCTGACGTCAAAATATACTATTAATTAATTAAGCTAAAGAAATATTCTTAACTCTCAATTTCTATTAACATATGTATGTAATTGAAGCAACATTCTCAATGAAACTTCTACGTACATGAGAACTGTCAGCGTGGTGTCCCTAGTTGGCGATATGGACCACCAAAATATCGTATCGCCCTTGTGGGCATTCGGCGAAGTGTCCTATGCCCAAAATAGTTTTTGTGCAATTTCAATAGATACATTCACACCAAATAAATATTCAGTGGCGCGTTTTTTTTTTCAAAAAGCTAGAGTGGTAACCGTAAAATTCAAAAACTGGCACATACTGACAGCACAACATGGTTAAATCTCTTTTCAAACATCTTCTCGCGTATTATGATCTGAAGTCAATTTCTTCTGAAATCACTGTTACATTAAGATCACCGAAAGTGCCAAACCTATTGGCAGGCATTTCTTCACGTATTGTGTTCTTCCGATTCACATTTTCAAAAGTTGTATCAGGAACAAAGAAACGCAAGGAGGTGTACAGTTCCTCCCGTTTCAGATTATCCTCACTAATATGCAAGAAAGTTTGAAAGACATTTTCTCACGTAGTGCGATTTTTTGAGGCAAAGTCCGCAGCATAAAAAATTACATGAGTATTAAAAAAAATTGCTGTGGCCAGCACAGATACCGTACCCGCAGGATTTTGACTAAATGTATTTCAGTTCTTAGTAAAGTGTTTATAGAGCATCTGTACCAAATTTGGTTCAATTCTGTGCAATAGTTTAGCCATAATATGGAAAAATGTCAACAATTGACAGTTTTTTGTTACTTTGACACACCTGTGCATACTCGATTCTATCCAAAATCTTTTCAACTCTTCCTTTTATATTATTTTATTATGTCTAGAATACGTGTAAGTTGGTTCCAATCGGTTTAGCCGTTGAGCTGGAAATGAGAGTACAGACAGACAGACCGATCGACATTATCGAGATTTTGTTTGATTCGGATTCATGATGCCTTAAAACGTGTATTTCCGTCAAAAATGTGGAGGGGGGAGGCATTTTTTTTACCCCAACGCAATACCGTCCTTACTACCGTGCGGGTAGTAAATTCTGCTAAACAGAAATGCAGGAAGGTGTAACACAGATTGGGCGATAAGCGGCGGGTGGTCACGAAAATAACCAGTAAAATGGTCATGATCCGGCACGTTATTCTATTTCGCACGATCAATGGTCTCAAAATCGTTATCTAGACATTAATTACTGTACTATGGCCATCGTGAAGCAAAATTAATTTCATTTTCCAATTGCAAGTTTAATGGACATTAAGTTCAAGACAAGCATGTCGAAGTGGCTCAGATTACAGTTGCCAAATTATATATTGTAATTATTTATTGTTGGTTAGAGTAAATCTTGCTTCGAATTAAACGAGCTAACAATAACTAAATTTAAAGAAAAAGATCAAGAAGTCCAAATGCCCATTTCCTTGTTATTTTCAAATGCCCAACAGGTCCTTCTTGAAATCTTGTAGTTGTCTATTCGTCTGTCTGTGTGTACGAACATGCGTATAGTTATTCCTGGTCCAAGTAAAAAGTGTATGTAGGTTCAACGGGTTAAAGGTACCCAAAGTTATCTGGCAGGTATATTTCCTCTGTTGCATCCGTATATTAAATAATATGAGTGTACTCGCATCTCCTACGGTCAATAAAATTAGGATTTCTTGATATGCACTATCCACATGTGCTCTTCCAAAAAAATCAGTGCCGTAACACGCTTCGGTTAACGAAAAATGTTTCAGTTTCGTATAAATTTTATTTTTAATTCATTTCAAATCCTGTTCACTTTATGCTTGCAACATAGATACATACAAATAATTCACTTATTGACACTTGTTAAATCGAATTAAAACATGCACGAGTAACTCACTACAAAAACAAATATATTCACAATTAAGTACACAGTTCAAAGTATGTGAGGCAAAATAAAGCAAAAATTAAATTACGATGTAGCATAAACGTATTGTTGGATGGTTTAGTTCTACCATTTTAGTTAATTACATTTCAACGAATCACCAACGGGTATTTTAATGCAAGCAACCATTTGACAAGCAGGTGTTTAATTTAATTTATTAATTAACTTTTTTACCTCCCATAAATATTAATAATTTAATTTAGGGTGTCGGTTCCGACTTGCAGGTAGCTAACTAGCTGTTAATTATCGTCGCTAAATTCGAAATCGTTGTACTTTTGTGTAATGGCCTGAACGCATTTCATTTCCCTTTAAATAAGTTTTTGGGAAATTAAGTGATTGATATCGCAAACATTCATTTAAAACGCGCTGAAAAATGTAATATGTTTTCGTCATAGTTTAGAATACTGGAGTATTGCTTTATTCAATTTTACCATTCATCATAATACCATTTATTGATTAAACGCGTTTCGGCTTTCGCGGATCTGTTGTGGAATATAACTTTCTGTAAACTGTGTACAAAATCTGCGTTTCCGTGTTTGTGTCACGGAAGGACGATTTTCGTAGGCCAGATGATTACATAAACATTGGATTTAGAACATGCACGTTTTGATTGTAAAAGGTTCGTGGAACTGGAAATAAATGCTATAAGCGGCGATAGGATCCTAGTCCATATTTAATCTTAGTCTGAAT